CAACACAAGTACTAAAGCCTGGCCTTCAGAATGGAAACCTTACTTAAAGGCCTGGGCAAGAATTAAAGGCAAAGTTCCATATACTTCTAACTGGCCCTGGAACAATAACGAAATCAGAATCAAAGAAATTAAAGAAGACGAACTCTCAGTTAAGAAAACCCTAGAGCTTTTAAAAGAATCTTCTCTCTCATTGGCTTTATCACAAACTCCTTCACAGGCACCTCAACATACTTGGCTCTCTTTGAAGTCCATCTGTAACAAGAAAAAAGATGTTTTTTGGCGCCTCTTCCATAGAGCACTTCCATTAGGCTACCGATTAAGACACATTGGATCATCAGAAACAGGAAGCTGTACTTGGTGCTCAAACGAAGTACAAACTATAGAACACTTTGCTTTAGATTGTCCTCGAAGCAAAATAATTTGGAAGAAAGCATACAGTTTTCTCAATATTAATGAAGAAATACCTATACCAGCTTCATTAGACGATATTTTTCAAGTCTCTAATAATACTTATCCTCAGGCTTTAGCAGCCCTAACCTGGTTACATATTACTACAATCTATGAAATATGGTGTCGATACACTTCTGTAAAATGGGGAAATTCTGATACACCTCTCAATTCTCTAAACTCTTTCATTAGAAATCGTATTTCAAAAGAAATACGAATTCTAAAAAACAACCTTTTTAGTTCTAGATCCAAATCTTTTAAACTAATATGTAAATATTTAAAAAGTAACTAAGTCACATATAATACTTTTAATAAAAGAGCGCCACCTGCGCCCCTAGTTGTTGAGACAACAGGGATATTCAAAAAAAAAAAAAATTACTAATTAATAAATTAACTTAATAAGGTTGACTCTATTTTGTAAATTTGTTTGCTCATGCATATTAGTTAATAATAAACTTGACTTAGAGATACTTTGCAAGAATATTAAAGTAACTTCTTTAAAACACAGAGTATTAACTTTAGCAAAAGAAAATTAATAAAATATAAAGTTATTGTTAGTCTATTAAACAAATATAAACTATTATTAATTAAGAAAAAAAATGTATATTTCATTTAGCTAAATTGTTTATAGTATAAGAGTCTTTTATTTACAAAATAAATAGTATAAAATTTAGTTTGCTTTTTAAGTTTGTCTTATACTAAAACTTTTAGACAAAATATTCCTCTATCTATTCATGCTTATAATTCTTTTTAATAAAATCTTCTGTAAGATTTAAAAATGCAGCCACTATTTTTGAAATTATAATGTTCTTTATTAAATATAAGTTATTTTCAAAAGAGAATAATATAAATAAACAGATGGTTAAGTTTATTTGTATAAAGAACTAGATTAATGATAATTAGACCTAATGTATAAAACAGATTATAATATTTTTTATAATTGTATAAACTAAATATATAATAAATAACTTTATAAAAAATAATTTATTTTCTTCAAATATTATCTTATCTAATTTTTTTAAGAAATATAAACTAAACATCACTCTTTAAACTATATTAAATAATTTTATAATTCTCTAACATCATCTTGTTAATAAAATTGCTATTCAATATAATATTAAACTTTTTACAAACTCTACTAACCTACTAAATAAACCTCTTACTGAAACAAAATCAACTATTACTATTTTGATTCTTGCTACATCAAGTTTTTTTAATATTATAAAAGTTTTTTTTTTTTAACATTTTAATATATATTATATTTTATTTATATATCTCTTAATTCCTTTTTGTTAACAATTATCTTGAAAAATCTGCTCTAATATTTTTTAAATATGAAATAAATAAAGCTTATATATATTTTTCTTATAAATCCAATCTTTTATCTAAATATTTTCTATTATAGCACTCTGCATCTAATCTTTCAAATTATATATTATTAAGATTTTTTTCTAATACACTAATTTTCTTTATATTATTATTTCTAAATAGTTTGTTTATTTCTACTTCTAATAATATATTACAAATAAGTTCTAAATCACTTAACTTATAATTTGTATATATAATATATAAGATTTTAATAAAAATTTAAAACAATATATTTAAGAAACTTCTGTCTTTTAAATAATTTCAAAATCATTAGCATTATAAAAACTAAAATAGATACTAATAATTCTATAACTAAACTCCAAAAATCCAAATATTTTACTTATTTCTAATTTGTACAAATATTTCTAAAACTAATATTATTATTATAATTTATAAGTTTATTAAATATTATATTTATAAAATTTTACTTTTTATAAAATATACTATTATAGTAAATATTTTCTTTAAACATAACTTCAAATTTAGAATTATTTCAATTTACTTATTATGTAATAATTTTCAACTTAAATTATCAGTACAAAATACTATTATACAATAGATTCAACAAATTATTACTTTAAATATACAACTTATTATCTTAGATGACTTTAATGCATCTAATTATCTTATTCAAATTTTTTTAATTAAATATAAACTACTCTATTTTCTTTAATATAATAAATTATATAACTTAGTTAGTTATATACAAACCTTTATATCTATATGATAAAGTAATAGATATAGTAGTAGTATTAACTATATTTAGTTTAACTAATCTCTTCTTCATTATCTTACCTTTTTTATTATTAAAGACTCTAATACTAGTACTTAATGTGATTACAAAATTTTCATCTTCAACTAGTTCTTTCTTTATATATATTTAGACAAATTTTATTACTTAATTAAAATCTAACAAAGAATATTTTTATATAAAAACATAAAAAATAAATAAAGATAATTCTTTTTAGATTAAATAACCTCAAACTTAACTACTAATCTAATACTACTTATTATTCAAATCTCTAAATTTTTGGAATCTTTATGATATAAAATACAAAATAATATTATCTTTACAACTTTATAATATATCTTTAATAAAAAATTTATTGTTAGAAATTTTCAATATATCTTTTTTACAAAGGTCTCAAAATTATACTATTATCTTAAAAAACTTGACAATATTATTTGATAAACTAAACATGCACTTCAAAATCTAACACTATTTTACTTCATTATAATAAACTTATCACTTATATTAATATATTATATCTTATAATTTCAATATTCTACTATTATTTATAGAGCATAATTTAGTACTAGATTAGCTAATCTTAACTACAACTGAATAAAACAAACTATATAATATTTGCAAAATAAAGAATATCAAAGAAATTAAATAACAAGTTGATAACAAATCTTAGTCAAATCCTATCTTTATAATTAATTACATCCTTAATCAGTATAAAGATCTTGTCAAATTTGATAATATTAGAACAGATAATAAGCTTATTACTAACATATCTAATATTAAACTTTACATTTAATAATATTTTAATTAATAGACATCATATTAATATATTAATTAAAAAGTATAAATCTGACTAGCAAAATAATTATAATCCTAAACCACACATCAATTCTAAATACTATAACAATATTCTTTCTGAATTTATAATAAATAAAATCAATTCAACATTAGTTCAACTTCCAAACAATAAAGTCTGTAACTTTTTAAGAATTAGTTATAAAATACTTAAACATGCTGACTTATTATTTTTTCAAGTAATTATTGCTTTAATTAATAGATATATTTTTATAAATTATATATTTAAATAATAAAAAAAGGACAAAATCTTCTTAATCTCTAAAAAACCAATCTTTAATAACAATATTATTAATATTAGACCTATTAGTCTTCTTAAGTATACTAAAAAACTATACACCAAATTATTCACAAACTATTTAAATCATATTTTTACAAAATTCAAAATATTCCCACCTTACAATTATATTATTCTTCTAAGCAATAGTACTACTATTTTTATTCACATACTTAACAATATTATTGAAGATACATGTTGCAGTTCTAAAGAATTTTGACTAATATCTCAAGACATAAGCAAAACTTATAATTCAGTCAACTTGAATTTATTTAAAAAAGTCCTTAACTATATCAATATATTATCTAAACTAATTAATATACTTATTAATCTATTTACAGATCATTAAAACAGAGTAATTACAAACTTTGATCTTATTGATTTTTATTTAGGTAAAAATAGAATAAACCAAAACAAAACCAAAAATTTTTGGTAACATGATCAAAATGGTAGCATAAGTCAATCATATTTCAAGATAATGTGTAACATAACAATAATGTGATCAAAAAACTTCAAACCAAAAGTTTGTTTTGTCAGGAAATTGTCTTTAGTGTTTTAATATAAAATATGATTAATTAGTTATAATTATATTATATTTCATGAAAGATTTCTTTTTTTTAAAAAAGAAAATCAAAAAATAAATGAATTGAAAAATAAATGAATATATTTTTAAAAATCATTTGTTTCCTTTAAACTCTTCTATAGACTTGGATTTTTTTTAATATTCCCTATGGTGTGATCTGGATATTGATATTTATTTAATGACTAACTTGCATCATATACTAATCCAGTAGGTTTATGGTGAAAAAAATATTAAACTATTTTTTGTACTAATTAAATAATTTGCAAAATAATACGTGTTGAAAATCAGAAAGTTTAAATAGAGGACTCACAGGCGGGTCTCAGGTATAGCATCTAGTGGGTAACCTATGGGCGGAACCCTTAATTAGATAATGACTAAAGTTATACGTGTGACTAGTTGTACTTTCATTGATAGACTATTGTATATAAAAACATGTAATCATATGTTACTTAATAAAGACACACAGGCGAGATTGCCGCTTCAAAAAAAAAATAAAAAAAAAAATAGTTTGCAAAATAAACGATTGTTTTGTAATACAATTTTTTATGCAGATTTAAAGCTTTTGACAGCATATTCGGTTCGAAATACGACTAGAAATTATCCGAATGGCTCGGATAATATCTAGATAGAGATTTTTCAATGGGTCCAATTTCTAGCCTTTAAAATTACAATATCTATGAGGAGGCCCTATAGATACCATGCAGTTTACGAGCAGCCTTTGTAGATAAAACAACATGCCTTGAAGTTCTCTGCCTCATTTCATTTTCATACAACCAAATACACTTTTCCCAACCAATTTTATCCATTTTTAGCAATGATTTTGAAAGAATTTCTGAATCGTTAAATGCTGCATTCATACCTATTCAAAACAAATATTAGCATTAAATTTAATATAAAATTAAAAATACGAAATTTGAATACAACCTAAACCCAAGGATGGTTCCATGGCATGTATAGCATCACCAAGTAAAGTAACCCTAGTTGATTCCCAAATTGGAATAGACTTTGGATCAATGTGACGAATGAGTTTTTTCCGTGGTGGATTAAACTTCTTGAATGGATATGGATTTACAGAATCATCAAGCGGGACTAAATCCCATAGTTCTAATAAAAGTTTTGTCAGTTCTTTTTCTGGATTTGTTTTTGCTATCCTAGTTTTAACTTCATTAATAATTTGAGCTGTAGTTTCTTTATAAAGATCTCGATCAATGTCATCGGTATTTGGAGAAATATGAATTGCATACGAATAAATGATTGTCATTCTAAATCGAACATCAATTTCTCTTTCATCATTTATAGGAATCATTCGAAGAAGTTGACTAGAGCAGTCATTATAAGATCCCATTATTACATTCATTAAACTATTTCCAGTATATTTTTGAAGTCGTGATATTAATTGTTGAGAAGGTGCTATATCAGCTATAATGTTGATTATTCCGTTATTTTGAATTTTTAAGTGTGGTAATTTTTGTTTTCTTACTTTTTTTGGTTAAAAAAGGTTAGTATGATAATTATTTAAGCTTATATTTTGATAAAAAAAAGCTAACTTACTAACAGAATTAATACCATCACATGCGACTAGTAAATCACCAAATTCTCTGGTTCCATCTTCAAAAAGAGCAAAAACACCATTTTCAACCTCTTCATAACCAACACACTTTTTACCCCATTGCACTTCAATATCCTGTAATAAAATGTCACGAAGTACATCACGATAACCAAGCATAAATTCATTAAAATTTAGAGGATACTTTGAAAATTCTATAAAATTTGGAAATTGACGATTCGTAGGTGGTTGAACAATCTTGTGGCCTGACCGGTTCAAGGCATATACAATATGTTCTTCTTTTAAATTATTAGTATCGGGGATTGCATGCGGGATATGTGGGATTAATGAGGTGGGAACACATTGGATTAGAGATTTTACACCAGAAGAATAAAGCGTTACATGATATCCCTGCCATCTAGCTATAAGATTTAGATAAATGATCAAAAATTGAACGGAACTTTTAGATGTTACCTATTCTAATATAACGGTACTACAGAAATCATAGATACTGTATATCGAGGACCATGGTACTTTACTTGGGGTACGCTGTATATTAACTATTACATATAATAATGTATACACAAAATTTACCTGTTGGACTGAATTCCCTATCGAATATTTTTACGTTAAATTGTTTGATATTTTTATTCTTTTCTAACGCATGAGCTAGGCACAATCCTCCTGGTCCTGCTCCAATGATTAAAATTGTAGGTGATTTATTTTTCATATTTATTAGTATCTTCTTTTTTAGAAAAAAAAGATCAAACCATTAAGTTTTATAAATGAATTTTGAATGCACAAGTATGTACATGTACTACTAGGGTACTAATTAATCAAAATCATGTGAGGTACACTAACAATTACAATGCAAAATCGCGAAGATGTTCAAAAAATCGGTTCAACTCATGTAGAATTATTTTTTTACCGTAATTTTCATGACAAGCGACCCGTAAAGCGTAACTAAATAAACTATAGTTTAAAATTTTCAATTAATTTGAGCGTTCAGCTCGAGATAGAACTATCCCTTAAACCGTCAACTTAACTTCTACAATCAATTTGATACGTAGCTCAATCACAGATCAATCATTATTTAAGCATACAAATTTGTACGTTAGCGTTAGACGTTTAAGGGATAAATAAAAAGGAAAGGTGGCGTATCACGGGTAAAGAAAAGACTGGTCAAAGACAAGCACGTCCGTGATCTGTGACAGGTTAAGTCACTAATTTCAATCACCGTCTGATTATATTCCCAGGGTAAGTCTTGATTGTTAAAAAAAAAATAACTTATAAATTCAAAAGTTTGCTTTCGATATTAACTAAACAAAGATTTATATAAAAAATAAAAACTTTTTAAAATTGAAATAACGAATACCACACAAATAATTCACTAGTATATTATAATTACTTTAAGCAAAGCAAACAATATGTCTTTCTTTAACCGTGTTACTGTTCAACACATTCTTCCTTAAAAGATACTTTTTTTACTTAATTCTACCCCTTTCGAATATAACTTCGTAATGATAAGCCTTTCAAATTATTAAATACAATAACTTTTCATCATGATTTAAGGCGGTCATTGAAATCAGTGGCTTAACCTGTCACTATACATGGGGTATCTAAATTACTCCTTTTAATAAAAAATTATTTCAACATTTAGTCTGTCGAAATTAATTTTTCTTAGTGGCGAAATTACTGTTCATAGTAGTCGAATTCTTTATGTCAAAATGCATTAGATAGTATGGTTACTTTGTGGAATTTGTATAAAAAAACTAGCAATGTCGAAATGTTTGTTGAAAATGCTTTTTTAAAAAATAATTTAGACACCCATGTATACCTGTCACAGATTACGACAATGCACATGATAAGATAGTTATAATTGAGAAGATCTGAGAACAAATGTTTTAAGATATTAATATAAAATACAAAGTTAGGGAATTTGGAATAAAAAATTTGGGATAATGAATTCCGATTATGTGTTTCAAAAAAGGTGAACAGAGAGGAGGCCACCCTTGCAAAGGAGAAGAATCCATGCTAACTAAAATTTGAACCTTTATCCTCTATCTTAGCCTACAACTACATCCTAGCCCTAAGTTTTCATACTGTCGACTATCTATATAACGGAAATCTGGGTTGAGAAAATATTTCCGTTATATGGTCTTTTATTATTAACCCGTTATAACATTATAAATTATATACTTATATATTAAAAATTTGGTTCTTTGCAATTTGTTCTGTTAAACCGATGAGGGTGCCCGTTATATCGGTAGTTGAAGTATTTAGTATTCTTCTTGATTAATAATATATTTTATTTAAAAGGTCACCTATACTGCAAACTTCTTATCCAACTTCTATTGTCGGTTATCATTCGTATATTTGCTAGACCGGGTTAAAATCTCCACCAAAAAAAGTTTCGAAAATCATATGATATTGTCAATTCATGATAATAATATTTATTAAAAAATATTAAAATAAGTGATTTAGTAAATGATTTTTTTTCTTCGATTCTTTAAAGTGAAAAGCGGCCGTTAAAGCAAAATCCAATAAACACAATTCTAAAAATATATGTTGATTGCCGTAACCAAATTTCCATTAACAATAAAGGAGTTGAGAAGTTATGAGTATCGAATACAAAATTTATGGCTTTTTGAGCCATATCTTATTGGTAATCAGAAAGATAAATTGTTTCCTGGGCGACAAGAAAACGCTATCTCAAAAAAAAAGTATTTCATCGCGGGTGTAGGAGCAAGATGGAAGTCTGTTTTAATTGGTTAAATTTTTGTGATCGACATTAATATTGTGAGCCCCGAAATCGGTCACAGTCTCACGTGACCGATCGTCGAAATTAGGTCCCGACGCCTACCCGAGTAAC